ATAGAATCATTCATTTACAAAATATTGCCAATAGACTTCCTGATGCATTTAATGATGCCAGTAAAGTCACGAAGTCATATATTCCAGCTGTGAATGTGCCAGCTAGGATCGCTGTTCGCGAAAATGAATGATGATCCCCCACGACAAAAACGGGGTAGACCTATTGCTTCCTCTCACAAAGTTCACCTCACCAAAACTCTTATTGCTTTTGTTAACTCTCAAATCCAGTTCTTTACTCTTTAAACCGCTTATGACAGTGTCAAGAGAAATATTATCCCTGCCATATTTAATAGCAGATTTCAAATCGTTGTAAGAATCAGGGATTGCGTTTAACAAAACAATGGGAGTATAGTTATCAATAATTTTATCTCCCGTCAGTTTAATATCCTGAACTAATCTGGTAAACTGATCTATGTTCTCATCAATATCTTTGGTTAGATCCAATTTGAATCTAAAAAACTTTTCGAGTAAAAACAATTTTGAGGGCAGAGAAGTTTCAGTGTACAACTCATCTAACTTTTCCCACAGACCTTTGGCAGAATCATGCATACCTACCTTTCTAATCACAGAGTCAAAAAGATTCAATATAATGGCAGAGTAAGCAAGTTCATCAAGTTCAATTTTCTTAGAAGCACTAGTTTCAGCAGCATAAGATTCATCAATAGCCACATAGCATCTTTGTTGAATTAACACACCTTTCATTTTCTGTTTCCAAATAGAAAAATCACCCTTACCATCAAAAGGAGCCATAGAATAGACAGACATGGCAGCCATACAAATTTCAGCACAAAGCAAGATATTAGACCAATTTTTCACCATAGGCCAAAATTGGGACAGGTGCATATGCAACAAGGATAGGCAATCTTGGAGACCCTCCCTCACAGGATTCCAGGGCACTTGCGGACCGGTCAAGTGAGGTCGAGAATCCAAGTTATACCACCCTTTAATATTTATATATATATAAGTGAGCAGTTTATATATATGCAGCGGAAGAAATAATGTTCACACAGAAGCAAGAGTGGCACACAGACCACAACAGAACACACAGAGTGGCTCACAGACCACGAATCACACACAGTGGCTCACAGACAACAAAATCTAACAATAAGGCAGTACCAATCACAGCAGAAAACTAAATCCCAACAATAGGGGGTTTAGGGTACAATACCTGAGCGGAATCCGGTTGGATTTCCGTACGCCCTATTTGAACGAGCACCCCCAACTTGACGATGCTCTGGTACCACTGTTGGGTGGCCGTTCAAATAGCATTAATATTACAGACCTTTAATCAAATGAATTACACAGATTAATAAGCCTAAGGGGAAGGGGATTAAGACTTAACAAATAAATTACAGAAATAAATAATAATAAGAACGAATCTGGGGCAGATCGAAAATCTGCCCGTTTTCGGCTCCGGTGGAGAAGATGACACAGCGACGGCTCAGTCCTCGTTTCCCGTGTCCACGTCCGGAGTCCAATCGGCGGCAGCCAGCACACTCCCGGTGTCAAGCTCACAGATCCACGCCCAGCAGTCGAAACATCATCCGAGTGCTCAGATCTCAGCCTCACTCCGACTGTAGTCTCAACCCAACCCAAAACCCCAACGAATCGAACTCACACACACAGTGTTTCCCCAGATCTGGTACCCTCACTCACAGAGGTCACAAAACCACTCACCACATAGAGGTTTAAGACAAGAAGGTAGAAGATGGGAAGATTTCGTTGTTTTCGTTGTTCTCTTCATCTTCAAGAAGAGATGTATATATACTCGTGCAGCTGCAGCAAGAAAGGAAAGAGAATCGACCGAATCTCCGACCGCCATGGAAACCGGCGAAAGATTCGGCCGTCGAGAAGAGAGAGAAGAGAGAGGTGCAGCTGCTAGGTTAGGGTTTGGAGGCTTTGAGAGAGAGAGGATATATATATGTGGCATGGATGGCTGAGATCGAGACTTATCAATCAACGGTCCAGATTGACTCTGCTTGGGCTTTAAGTGAGCTGATGGGCCGACACCAAGGGAATGGGCTGCACAAAGTGGGTTAGCAATTTTGGGCCAAATAAACATTTGGGCCCCTTTTATCTAACAATCTCCACCTGGGACCAAATGGACTATCGGGACAAAATTGGGAGATGAGGTCATCATTGCCGTTTTAAATGTACCTGCACAACAACACACAAAGTCAGCAACGTACATTAAAAGATTAATCACACAGATTAAAAATAGGGGCAGTCACGAAGACAACCCTATAATTACACACAGTAATTAAGATTGAGAGATTAGGCTCAAGCTTTTCAAGCAAGAGCGAAACTTCTCGAGTGGGAGACACTTAGTACCCATATCTGCTGGATTAAATTGTGATGGGATTTTTTCCAGCTTGATAATACCCTGTTCCACAATATTACGAATAAAGTGATACTTAATCTCAATGTGTTTAGTACGATCGTGGAAAATCGGGTTTTTACGATCGTGGAAAACCGGGTGTTTAGGTCCCACTGAAGTTAAATAGCTATCTTCTACTTTGTTTTTAATGTTTTTAGGTTGAATTTATCTATTCTTTGTTCCACTGAAGCTAAACTGCATCTTTCACACGATTAATTCTTCAATCTGCATTCAAATTACAACAATCGACCCTAAAAATAAAAAGTGATTTCAATAGAGGCTAATTTGTAAATAATGAAAAAAATATCAAATTTAAAAGTATGTTATAATTTGTTATAACCTTAAAGGATTTAAAATAAAAGGGAGAAAATATTAAATATTTTAGTATTCGGTACGATACGGTAAATCGGGCATCAATATTGTATATCGTACCAAATACCATAATTCAAAAAAAAGTTACTGAATACTAAGCATAATTTTCGGTTCATTATTTGGTGCGTACTGAATTTTCTATCGGTTTACCGACCAAGTGAACACTCTTAAACATATGTCCACAATTTTGAGGCTAATATAGTAAAATTATACGATTCAAATAATAATAATAATAATAATAATAATAATAATAATAATAATAATAATAATAATAATAATAATAATAATAATAATAATAATAATAATAATAATAATAATAATAATAATAATAATATTATTAATAATAAATTATAGTAATAATAATAGTAACAGTAGTAATAACAACTACTACAACAAATGGTCTATTTTCGATTATTTTTTTATTTTAGCATGTAAACCATATAATTTTTGTAGTTTGATTGTAGATTTTTTAATATATACTTTTTGTTATGAATACTATGCAATGTCATATAAATATATGTATATCGTTATATGAAAAACCAAACCAAATATTGGCATTGTACTGATAAAATATATATATATATATATATATATATATATATATATATATATATATATATATATATATATATATATTGACATTGTTTTTTCTTGGTAGTTGGGTTTTATTATATTTCCTTGGACTGGATTTAAGACTAGTACTAAGGGTTATTTTATTGGCCCATGTAATATTGGCCCATTTTACATCCCTTTTGGTTTCAAAAACCTAATCCCATTAGTTCTTCTTTACTTTTTTCTCCATTTCTGTTCTATTCCTGAGTCATATTGTTTTGTTTTATGGGTTATCCTCTTACTCGACACAATTCTACCGATTATCATTTTTTTTTTGAGTAGATTTTTTGTTCTTATAGAAATATTTTATTTGCAACGTTGGTAATTCTACACTGTGCTTTTCTTTTTCTTTTTATCTCTTTGAATATTTTGGGATAGATTTCTTGTTAGTTTAGAAATAATTATTTGTACCAATAGTAATTCTTTATTGTGTTTTTCATTTGTTTTTTTTTTTCGAATAGATTTCTTGTTATTTTAGAAATAATTGTTTGTATGTAACAATATCAATTCTTGATCGCGGTCTACACTGTGGAGAGATTAGCCATTGATTGTTGGTGGATTTTGCCATTGATTGTTGTTAGATTTTGGTTGTTTTCAACTTCAATCTTTTTTTTCCCTCTTGAGATTTTCAGAAAATAATAATGGCGTCTTTGATGCTCCGCCGGTTGATTTATCGAGCAGCCGCCTCCGCCGCCAGATCTTCTTGTGTCCGACGAATATCATCAACATCATCATCTGCAGCTGTGCAAGCGCATGCGCCATGGTTGATGATCGGAGACAGCTTTGACGAAGAAGGTGAGTTCAACAAGTTGGTGTACAACTTTTACAATGTGGGTGATAAGCAAGTTATAAGCGTGGACAAGAAAAGAGGGAAAGATGGGGTAGTGGTTGGTTCTTCCAACGGTTGGCTAGCCTTGTACAAGTTGGGTCGAGATCTGTACAGGTGGCGCTGCTCTGGCATTTACGGCTTTGAAATGTTTCTCTACAATCCTCTATCTCATCGTTCTGTGAATCTCCCATCCATTCAAACCCCGTATGTTTCCTCCGACACTTACGGGCCCATTTCCAGAGATCAAATACGCCTACCTAATAAGGTCATCGTTTCATCTTCTCCCAAGTATGATGAAGAAGAAGAATGTGTGGCAATTATGTCTTTCAGTCCATATCATAGGCTGGCCTACTGCAGCCCCGGACGCAGTTTTTGTTGGACTCCTCTTTGTTCTTTTGATAATCCAGTGTTTTACGAAGACTTTGTGTATTCCACCACACGGAAGCAATTGTTCTGCACGACCAAGTGCGACAACTTTGAGAGCTGGGATTTTCAGGACCCTCGCTCTCCAAGACTGAATTGGAAGATGGTGGCGAGCGATGATGTGGACTATGATCCGGATAACTACCCTTTGTCTCCCCTGTTGAAGCAAGAGTATGCACTGAAAAAAGACTTTTGCTGGTCAGTGAAATACCTTGTGTTTGCAGAGCTGTCCGATCGACTTTTTCTTGTGCGGCGTCATCTTATGGAAAAAATTACTAGTTATAACGCTCTCAGACATCCTCCGTACCAGACTATTGGTTTTGATGTTCACGAATTAATAACTGTTGATCCTGGTGCTAAGCTAAGAAAAGAGGAAAGCTGATTTACATGGATGGTAAATTGGATGGTATGGCATTCTTCATTGGTTCGACGGCCCATGGATTTGTAATTGAAGACAAGGACAAAATGATGGAGAATGTGAAGCCCAATTCTATCTATTTCACGGACCGAAAGGAACTCACTTCAGAACCTTATGATGATTATAATAAACCTACTAGAACATTATGCGGTGGCCACGATCTAGGCATTTTTAATTACGAAAACAAGACTTTCTCGTCATGCTACTATCCATGTGATCCTGGAAACATTAGAAGAATTGAGCCGACACCGACATGGTTCATGCCGTCCCCCCCTTCTTAGTATACAAAAACTTTTCCTTTCTATAATTTTTCAACTGGTTTTTTTATGTTGTGTTTCGAGTTTCTTGTGTTGTTGCCGTAATAAGAATCTCATTTAAGCATTTTGCACACCACTATTGCTTTTAACATCATACTAGGCTTTTATTAGCATTACAATGGGGTGACAGTTATGTCTGGTCTTCGATTTGTATTGAAAGAAGATATTATTTTGGATAAAAATTGCAGGTAGCACAAAAACAAAAAGGGTGTATTTTCAGTTAACTTTTAACGGAAAAGGCGATTTTGTGCAAAGTAAAATGAAATATAAGGAGGGTTTAAAAAAAACACTGGGGAGTTTAGCGTAGATTTTCCTTGTATAGAGAAACCCAAGATTCTAAGAAGATTTCAATTGTAAGAACTCATTCTTCAATCCTACATCACCCTGTCCTGAGGAAATTCCTCGACAACAATATTTTCATCGCTATTTCTTGATTATTAGGGAGTTCCCTGTGAAATTAATAAATCACAAAATTCATTAGTTTTCGTCAATTAACTTTTGTTCTTATACTAGAAAGAAATTGTATATCAGATTACCTTGTAAAATAACCTCAACTCCACCTTACTCCAGCTTGTTATCATCAGAGAAGTCATTTGTTGTTATTTTGATCGTGCTAAAATCATATTGCACAAATCCATCTGTCGTAATCTTGTCCACATCTTCAACTTAAAGTCAAACAAAAAAAGATATTCTTAAACATGTGATGCAATTGTTAATGCATTGTATAGAGGAAAATTTTAGTATGGTGAAGTTTAAAAAAAAGAAAAAAAAAAGGGGTTGTTGTACATGATAAAATGTTGGCATTAATGAGAACTTAAATGAGGGACCGATCGGATCATATTACCATGGAGTTATTTGTGAGGTTTTTTTATAGGGTCCATTAGATATAATCCCCTGAGAATTTCAAAAAATAGGGATAAATCCAATCTTATATTTTTCGTTTGAGAGAAACCCACATTTTTTATAATACTAAAAATGCCCTGAATAAAATCTCACAAATCACGTTACATTACCTTTTGAAAATTAGAATAAATCACTCCTTATCTATATTATATATAAAACTAAGATACACAATCAAAGTTTTCCAATTGAGGAGATTGAGTCCATATTGTTTAAATAATTTCAAAAAAACCCCACTTACCATAATCATCTACATTATTAATTAATTGATTCACATTATTAGTTTACACAATTTTATCTCTCTTACATGTCAAAATAGTGTCTTTTTATTGGTTAATGAGTTTCCTTTTTTTAATCAATTGTTTGATAGTAAATACGTAAATACATAAATGCACATAATTTTTTTTCTTTTTTATGCACAATATTTATATTAATTGCAAAACAACCCCACTTACAAGAATCACCCATATTATTAATGAAATAATTTGGTTTTCAAATTTTATCTCTCCTACGTGTCAAAATAGTGTCTTTTTATTGGTTAATGAGTTTCATTTTTACAAATAATATTTTGATTAAATAAACGTATGAGCTATATGCAATATTTATAATTTTCCAATTGAGGAAATTTTATGCACAATATTTATATTAATTGCAAAATAACCCCACTTACAATAATCACCCATATTATTAATGAAATAATTTCACATTATTGGTTTTCAAAATTTATCTCTCCTACATTTCAAAATGGTGTCTTTTTATTGGTTAATGAGTTTCCTTTTTATAAACAATATTTTGATTAAAAAAACGTAGGACTTAAATGCATTTTTTTAATTTCCCAATTGAGGAAATTTTATGCACACTATTATATTAATTGCAAAAAAAAAAAAAAAGAAAACTCCATTTACCATAATAACCTATATTATTATTTAATTGATTTTACGTTATCAGTTTTCAAATTTTATCTCTTCTACACGTCAAAATAGTGTCTTTTTATTGGTTAATGAGTTTCCTGTTATATACATTTACATGTATATGTTTTCTCACTATATATATGGATATTTATTTTTATAAGGATATTTTCCCACAATATAGATTTTGTTTCATTTATAATAACTAATATTGATGTAATCTTTTATAATTATGTATCCGATCTATAATTAGTTCTAATTAGGCATATAAATATATTTAAATCAAAATTTGGGCAATTTATTTATAGAAAATTGCTTAATTGTATTTCATTACATGGAATATGAATATTTATTAAATATAATTTACTATAATTTAGAAAATATAAGTTCATTATTATAATTGTATTCCATTTACTATAATTTAGGAACAATTATATCTCACCATCTTTTATATACACGGTTCATTTCAGTGTTAGTCTAAACTGCAGGATAATATTATTCTCACGATACTTCATCATCCGGTCATCGTTCTCTTTGTGTGAATCGTGAGTATAAGTAATTGAGAATAATCGTTTAATTTTTTTTGTTTTTTTCTTCCATAATATTCGAGTATAGGAATTAATGTACTTTTTTCATATAGATTATATATTATAACTTAATTCATATTAAGTAACATATATAGTTCAAGATTTGTAATAGTATACTAATCTTTTATTTTGTGGCTTAACTAACTAACAAAATTTTGATTACGTATATTAAACATTTATAGATGTTAAGGCAAGTAGATCTTATTAGAAACTTGGGGGGCGAAAAAAGTCATGGAATCTCAAAATCCGTGTTTTGCACATTTAGAAACAACTAAATTATTTTAAAAAAATATCTTCAAGACATGGAGATGATCTTCACTGATGAACAGGTGATAATTTTATTTTTACACTTCAAATTTGATTTGTTAGCAAACAATATTATCACATTCGTTTCTTCATTACGCATGGCGACACAGTGAAATCTTCCATTAAGTATATACTGTTATACAGATTTGAGTCTAAGATTAGAGAGAATATAGAAAACAGATGTTATGTAATATCAAACCTATCTGCTTTTTAAATCTTTACATTACCAATTATATAAATTCATTACCTTTTTTTCATGACAATTATAATTTAAATAATTTCGGATAGATTACGAAGATCTTGGAGACCAGACGTATGAATTTCCTTTTTGCGGTGCAATGATGTGGTACGGTAAAAGGAGTGACAAGCAAGGCCCAAATTTAGCCTATGTTGTATGTCTGGAAAAGCCCAACTCCCAAAAATAAGACATGCACCTCCTACACTTAATAGTTTGGTGTTTGGAATTGATCGAAGGAGCAAACATTTCCAAGAGCACGTAAGATCGTATAATATGATGTTTTCTTTCACTTCACTTGATGAAACAGTGCAGACATCTATTAATAGCATAGTTGGTATGTACACATTTCCATTACACGGCCAAAATTACTATCTATTGGGCAGTTTATTGCCGGAGGAAAGCACGAGGCCTAAGTTTGCTCAGCTTTACATTTTAGACATAAAGAATGAAATTCAAAATAGAATTGATGTCGTAAGGTAAATTTTATCAGATTATATTCCTGTTTAAAAATAGTATAGAGTTTACAAATTATAATTAAAATATTATTTGTTTGGCAGGTCAGGAAACCAATCTAACGATCTTGACCCACACATCGTAGCATCGTTGAAAGATATGATTGATGGTAACAATGTACTTGCATAGTCGTACCGAGTTGTTCGAGATCGTTTTTCCAATGATGGCCATCATGGAGTAAAACTCAGATTGGTAAAAGCCGCATTACTGATGGCAGGACGTACAATCTTCCGAACGCCAGTGAAATGGCACGCTTGATTGTCGGGGACTTTGACACACAATAGGGTGTTAGGGACATTGTCGTTGAGACACGCTCGAATAAGCTTCAACGAATCAGTGAGCTCCATCCTCATTACCTTCCTCTACAGTATCCTCTTTTGTTTCCTTACGGGGAAGATGATTATCCAGACGATATAAGTTTGAGAGAATCTTCGCTTGCGGATAATAGAAAACGGAGGAAGGTGAGCATGCGAGAGTTATTTGCATACCTAATACAGAAACGACGTGGAGAAAATTCAGTACTTTTGCATGCTAAGAAGTTATTTTAGTAGTTCGGTGTCGATCGATTTTCCATGGTTGAGTCACTGAGGTTGAATTTCGTAAGGTTAAATCAGGATGGAATTAGGGTTGACATGTACAAGGGTATCGAAGACAAAATTTTTAAAGAAGACACCGAGGGTAAATCGATTGGACAACACATTATAATTTCAGGGTCGTTCACCGCAGGTCCAAGATATATGTTTAACAACTTCGTTGATGCTCTTCAAATATATAATTGGATTGGATTTCGAACTCTCTTCATCGGCAATCCTCGATGGCCTGAAATACAAAGGGTATTGCAAGATACAAATCTTAGGTCGGAGGATCGGCAAGACATTCTGTGTCGTGAGTTTAATATGAAGCTCAACAGTATGATGAGAAAAATTAAGAAATGGCGTATATTCGTACATATTAGAGCATGTAAGTATTTAATTACATCTCAATTTATAATTATACATTTACTACATTCATAGGAATTAGAGATATGGATCATGTGTGAGTTTAAATATTTATTTATTCATTAACTAAATTAATGCATATTGCTTAATATCATTTGTTTACATTTCCCTCCAGACGTTTGCACTATTGAATTTCAGAAAACGAGATCTACCGCATGCACATATTTTGTTGTGGTTGCATAATGATGACAACGCCAAGACCCCAGAAAAAATTGATAGGATTATATGTGCTGAAATTCCTAAGGAAGAAATCGACAGAAATATGTACCAGTTGGTGGAGAAGTATATGATACATGGACCGTACGGTCAGAAGAATTTGAAATCTCTCTGTATGAAGGATCGAGTTTGCACGAAGCGATTTACCAAGCCATTTGTGCAGCAAACTAAGTTAGATGCAAATGGTTATACTGTGTACAGGAGATGGGAAGATGGCAGAACAGTTATGAAGAAAAAGACTACTCTTGACAATGAGTTTGTAGTTCCGTACAATCGGGTATTGTTGAGTAAATACAGAGCTCACGTTAATATAGAGCTATGCAACCAAAAAAAAAGTCAAACAAATACCTGTTCAAATACATCAACAAGAGCCATGATCGAGTTATGGCGGCATTTTATGAAACACGCAATACTGATTGCGGTGCTGAGATTCGTGGCGAGATAAAGATGTACTACGACTGCAGATATCTGCCGGCATGTGAGGCAATGTGGAGGCTGTTTAATTTTGATATTCATTACAGAGACCCATATGTAATTAGGCTAAGCTTTCATCTCCCCGATCATCAGCCGCTTGTCTTCAATAAAAATCAGTCATTACAAAGTGTTCTGGACAGGCCATCTTCCAAGCAAACGATGCTCTTAGCGTGGTTTGAGGCGAACAAGAATTATCCACATGCTAGGGACTTGAGAATTACGGAGATTTTCCACAGCAGTTTGTGTATAAAGAGGATTCTCGCACTTGGGCGCCAAGAAAAAAAAGATTTTCTATTGGTAGGATTGTGAATGTTCCCCCTAGAAAGGGGGAAGACTATTACCTTAGGTTGCTACTTAAGATTCAAAGTAGTTGCACGTGTTACGAGGACATCAGAAAAGTTGCTGGCTACGTCTACCCTAAGTTCCAGGATGCATGTTATGTGTTGGGTTTGTTAGACGACAAAGAATACATAGATGCGATAAGAGAAGTGAATGCTTGGGCATCTAGGGATTATATAAGGAGGTTATTTGCGGTTATGCTGCTTTCCAATAGCTTAAGCCAACCCGAACATGTTTGGCGAAGTTGTTGGTCAGATTTGGCGGAGGGTATTGCTTACAAACAACAACGGCTTCATAATAATCCAGGTATGACAATTTGTATAGAACATTATTCAATTAGATTTTAAATATTACTCATTTTTTTAATATTCTCTCTTTAATTTTTGAACTAAATGCACAAAATGTATCAAATTTTTGTGCAGATTTATCTATATCGGATGAAAGCTTGATGAACTGTACTCTCACTGATATAGAGAAAATATTGCAAAGTAATGGCAACAGTCTACGTAATTACGCGCCCATGCCATTTCCAACCGAATTCGCGATGGAAGACACAGTAAACATATTGGTCTTAGATTAACTGGATTACGACCGGTTTGAAATGGGTAGAGAACTTCAACGGTGTCTTGCCTCAATTACAGACGAGCAACAAAAGGTTTATAATGTTGTCATGGATACTGTATCCAATGACCGTGGTGGAATGTTCTTTCTATATGATCATGGTGGAACGGGGAAGACGTTTCCCTGGAAAATTCTTTCGGCTGTAGTCCATTCCAAGGGAGAGATTGTAATTAATGTTGCATTGAGTGGTATAGCCTCGCTATTGCTCCCCGGCGGAAGAAAAACTCATTCTCGATATGGACTACCCATAAATGTACACGGGACTTCCACCTCCGGCATAACGCAACAAAGTCCACATGCGGAGTTTTTTATTAGGGCTAATCTTATTATATGAGACGAGGCTCCTATGATGCATAAGTACTGTTTTGAAGCGCTTGACAAGACAATGAAGTCAATATTACAGGTAGACAAATCGTCTGGAGGTAAGGTGGTTGTTCTTGGAGGAGATTTTAGCCAGATTTTACCTGCTGTACTCAAAGCATCAAGGCATGACATAGTACATGCTATGGTAAACTCCTCTCTGTTGTGGAATTTCTGTCTTGTCCTGAAGTTGAGTAAGAACATGAGATTGCAGTCATGTTATTCTCCACCTAACGTGGACGAGGTAAGAGAATTTGGAGACTGGATACTGAAGGTTGGTAATGGGGATGTTGGGGAACAAAATGTTGGTGCAACTTCGCTATAGATTCCCGATGACATGCTGATTGGTGCTTCAGAAGATCCATTCAGAGACCTACTGAGTTTCGTATATCCCGATTTGTTGAGTAACATATATGATCCAAATTATTTTCAAGGGAAGGAAATTCTTGCACCAACTAATGAATGCGTCGAGTCTGTGAACGATCACTTATGTCTCTCCTTCCAGGTGAGGAGAAGTTGTACATGAGCTCAGATAGTATGTATAGGGACGAGCAAACAACGGAAGATAATGAAGAAATCTATTCGACTGAATTCCTGAACACAATAAGATGCTCGGGAGTTTCTTCTCATGTCTTGAAGTTCAAGGTCGGTGCACCAATTATGCTAATAAGAAACATCGATCAAGCTAGAGAATTGTACAACGGGACCAGACTTCAAATTATTAGAACCGACATTCACGTTCTGAATTGCAAAATTCTATCCGATAAAAATATCGGTCACATGGTGTTCATTCCTTGGATGACTTTAATACCATCTAACTCCAGACTGCCAATTAAATTTCAGAGAATTTCTGTTGATTGTTTCTTTTGCAATGACGATCAATAAAAGCCAAGGCCAAACTCTTTCGCATGTTGATTTGTATCTTCCTAGGCCTGTGTTCAGCCATGGTCGACTATATGTTGCACTTTCCAGAGTTAAGAGCACAGGTGGCATTAAGATATTCATCAAGTGGAATTCGGGTGAACTCACCAATGTGACTAGAAATGTCGTATACAAGGAAGTAGTCATTGAATTTGAAGGTAGAAAATATTTTCATATCTATCACTTTTTCGTGTAACATGCCCTGATTTTTATTTTTTTAACACCTTATCTTTAGCAGGTCTATCTTCCTTATATTTTCCCCCGTGCGATGTTGTTTTCAGTTATGTCCCTAGGATACTCAATTCAAATCTTATTATCTTTAAGATTTATGTTTGTCGATATACTAATATTTAATATTATTCTTATATTGTAACTATGAACAACATGATACTCATAACATATTTTTAATATTGTTGGTCGATGAAGTTTTGTACTTAAATTCAATGAGCGTAATAATTGATATATGCATAAATTTGTTTTACAGATATGAATTTTCAGTTGAAAATATGCCGCCCCGTGCATCGCACGGGTGAATACTAGTAATATCGTCAAAACAACTACCCATTAATCCACTACCCCCATTCTACATATGGCAACAGAGATCCAGAAATCCTCTCTAAGGCACCTCCGCCACCACCTCCGCCTCCAAGATCGTCACCTCCACCTAGACCTCGACCGGCACCACCTCCGCCTCCAAGGGTGCGACACTCGATTTAGGAGTGAAGCCAAGTAATTTAAATGCCCAATGTCGTTGTTATCATCATTGGCCACCGGCAGCCGCCGCCGTCACTTCTCAGGGTTTTGATGATTTTTCGGCCCATAGTCGATGAACGAGATTCATAGTCGAATTAGATTTATGGGATAGTATATTAAATGATATGGGATAGTCTATCAATATTAAAACACAAATCCGCCGCCATGATCTAGGATTTTGTTGATTTTTCGGCCCAATAGTCAAATAACTAAATCAATAGTCGAATTAGATATATGGGATAGGCTATTAAATGATATGAGATAGTCTATTAATTTTAAAACACAAATCCGCCGCCGTCACTTCTCAAATCGAGGGATTTGATGATTCTTCGGCCCATAGTCGATTAGCGAGATCCATAGTCGAATTATATCAGTGGGATAGTCTATTAAATGATATGGGATAGTCTATTAATATTAAAACACAAATGAACATTGATAGTCTATTAATTTTGGCATTGATAGTGTATTAATTTGGCATGATCTATTAATATTAAAATACAAATGAACATTGATGTTACTATTGTAAAACATATGAATACTCTTGATAAAAAAATATCTAGTAAATATAAAGCAAGTTTATAGTTGATTAATTATTTGAGATTTTTTTTTTAAGTTGATGACACTTAGTTTATTAATATTAAAGCACAAGTAAAATATGTAATAGTTTATTAATTTAACACTGATAGTCGATTAATACAAATGTAATTCGACTATGCATCTCGTTAATCAACTATGGGCCGACGAATTATCAAAACCCTAGATTTGAGTAATCCTAGATTTGAGTAACCCTAGATTGGAGCAGTGACGGCGGCGGCGGCGTCGGCCAACGACGATATCACTCCTCAATTGATTGTTACGACCTTGGAGGCGGGAGCGGCGGAGGTCTTGGTCGATTTTGATAGTCTTGGAGGTGGAGGTGGTCGGATGTGGTGGTGGTGGAGGTTCTGGTGGCGGCGCAGGTGATGGTGGCGACTTTGGTGGTGACGGGAGAAGAGCCAGCGCCGATGATGGAGGAGGCGGTAACGGTTATTGGCGGCGACGCTGATGGAGGAGGCGACAACGGTGACAGAGGTGGCGGCGGTCGGAGGTGGAAGCGGCGAACCCGGCGGCGGCACTCTTTCGCCTAAAAAACTAAATGGAGATATAGGGTTTTGTAGAGATAATATAGAAATTCTTCAAAGCCGATTGTACACGATTTGATAATAACGAAACCGCCAATATACTCACGTAATTTTATTCCGTGATTTTAGGCAACGTATCAGCAATCTCATATCACGTAGTTAAAGAAATAAATGCCGTTCAAAAATAAAACAGGGGTATTAAAGGGAAATTAAATAATATATTGTGCCAAGTTGGCATATTTGGGTGTATCTCAAAAGGAGAAAAATTAATTGGACCTATCTCATTAGAAAATCTGAACAAGGAGGTTATCCCTAATAAATCATTTTTTTATATAATATAATGAATGGTTAAATATAAATTAATGTAATTATTATATAGTAGTGGTATATGAATTAATTATTAATGAAAATTACATAATCAACCTTCAAATCTTCACTACTGAAAGGGGTATTTTTGGCCATATAAAAAAAGAAGAAACTTCACTTATTATTCACACTTTTATAGATCCTACTTATAGATGTTCTGATTACATGTTTCACCAAGCATGTGTTTATCCTGCTTGTTGGTATTTAATTCCCGAATGAATCCGTAATTAGTATATTTTTCATTTTACTTTTATCGATGGATAAATGGTGGATTGATCAAGAAGAATTTGCATTTTAGCTACGTACCTAAATGTTTGTTCATGAAAAAGGAAGAATGAATATTGTGGAAACAAAAAAAAAAAAAAAGAAGTCATAATGTCTATTGTTGAGTTTTGGTTGGAAATGAGTTTTATGGTCATTTAGTTTTATCAAATATGTTTTTTTAAGCTGAATCATAAAATGCACATATGATCAGCAGGAACTTAACACCATTAACCACCATTAACCATAGAGGGGGTTTTATGCAAGTTTCTTGTAACATAGGGGGATTTGGTGCATGGTTTTGCAACAAATATTTGATAAAACTAAATTTAATTTATTCATTTTAAATTCAAATTATTTTTTTCAATTAAGTCAAATGCATCTATTAATTTAAAATATTGAAACTAAAAAAAAAATATTCGAGATGGAAGTTGGAACGAATTCTCAAATTATTTATGTTCTTTTGACATATATTTAATCCAGAATAAGTTATAAAAATAGATGATAATTCTAATAAAATAATTATATATTTTAAAAAATCAAAATTCTTAAGTACATTAATAAATTATATCATATAAAAACTGATATTTTTTTAAATATTCACCACACCTATTAAATTTCTATTTTTCGTATTATAACTGAATAAATGTGTTCGACTTAATTTAAGAAAATAATGTAACATTTAAATGAATAAATTAATGTCACATAAATTCCCCTTGTATTGTAGAATATGCACTAAATCCCCCTCTGTTATGAAAAAAATGCATAAAATTATTTCGATAGTTAACGGCGTTAACTTTTAACGGAAATGGGATTTGGTGCAAAGTAAAATGAAACACAAAGGGGTTTTGCGCAAGAAAAAAAAGGGGAAGGGTTGGCGCATGTTTTACAAGGGAGTTCTATATCGTTTACCCATTCAGAATAGATGCTCGAATCACTTTATGTTAGGTAATATTTATACCTTATAGTTGTTATACAAAATTGTTAATATTGGTACACATTTATGTTGTGATTTTGATTTTAACCCGGTTAAATTCAACATACATACCCAATAAAGAATTTGTGTTTGGATTGGGACAGACACGCGGTAAAGTGTTCGTGTTTGAACTGGGATAGATGGTACAAGATCATAAGGGTATTGCAATGGGACTTCTCTACTTGCATGAAGATTCTCAACTCAGGATTGTTCACTGTTATTTTAAATCAGGTAATGTACTCTTAAGTCTTAAATATGGAGATGAATCCCAAAATTGCATATTTTGTCTTAGCGGTGTTATTTCGATCACCACTGCATTCGAGTGGGTACGACCGCGGGCACTCACTAAATTATCTTACATTGTTATCTAGAATAAATTAGGCACCCACTCACTAAATGCACGATCGACCTCCTTGCTTTCTTTTTCTTTTTCCTTTTCTTTTATCTTCCTCCTCGCACACAATATTTGACCCTGATTTTCTCTCTTATTTATTTCACCTGCAAAAAACCTTCTCTCTACGGCCGCCAACTCCTTCTCCTCTCCATCACCTTCAATTCATGACTCACCCATAGTTTATACTTATCAATGTCCTTTTTTCTTTTGGCATTAATTATCTCTTCTACAATTCTTTTGTTCTCCGCCGCCTCAGTCTCTTTCAAAAGCTCTTGCGCGGAAAATCTTTGCCCTATTTTTCCCGTTCTCCGATATTTGTCATCGTTTATTCCAAAACGTTTTTGCTCGCTCGCACGCAGTAACCCTTTTCTCCAGTTTCCCCTCGATTTCATCGATCGAAAACAAAATTGTCCGAACCCCAGCCACAAAGACCCATGATTAAGTAATATTACATTATTAATATATATGTGTAGCTGTTAGGGGGAGGGGGGCAGCTGGGAATTCTTGAGATGGTCGACGGATCCGGAAGGAATATCGGAATTTCTGCAAGTGGAGGAGGAGGCGCGGCGGAGCAGGTGGAGGAAAGATGCGGTGGGAAGCGACGCTGGCGGAAGAGGCGGTGGCGGGATTGGAAGTGGGCGGGAGTCAACGATTGCAGGCCTCCCGCTCCCATGGCTGTGTGGAACAGAAGGGAAATCTTCTATGAGAATTGGGCGGCAGAGGAAACCGAAATGAAGGAAGAAAAAGGCAGGAGTGGAGAAGAAGAGGGGCGGAGCGGCGGTCAGCATTTGCGGCGGAAAAGGGAGAGAAGAGAACACAGTTGTAAAGGAGGAGGAAAAAAAAAACAAAAAAGGATAGGGCCCACATATTTACATTGGGGTTTACTATTCATAGTGCAATTTTTTTCAGCTACAGTGCGAAATAATTCTTTTGTCAAAAAACACTTTAACCTTTTACAAAATTCTCTCAATTTCCAAATATTTCGACTTTTGTAGATCGTGATTTGTTTTCGTAGAAATCAGTTAAAACCCAACGATTATCAAGATGGCCAACATCGATCCCGTAAATGAGGTAAAAATTTACGTTTTAGTGTGATTTTTTTCGATTTTCAGTCGTTTCGTGTAGAATATCACAAAATTATTCAAGTCGTTTCGTGATGCTTTGCACGAAATTAACACCATATTCGTGTTTTCCAGAATTTCGTGTACAA